TAAATGTCTAATACATATGTAAAAATGCATATGCAATATAATTTCCAAAGTGTTTAGTACATATGCAATATAACTTATTAAGTATTTAATACATATATCATATATGCATATCATATGTAAGCATTACATAGACTTGGCTCATGGGTGCTTGGTCATCAAATGAGCTAGTTTTACATAACAAGCCACTTGTCATCTATGAAAAAATTCAGGCTCTGGTGGTTTCTGCAATGAGCTTCCAAAACTAGATTCAGACCTGAAACTCAGATTAAGACCCAACCTGGAGCTTGCTTCTACTATTGCTGTAAACATAGTCAAGCCAGATCCCGGTAAACCCAGGTCAGTCCTCGCAGACATCTGCTTCTCCTTGTCTCTGAGGTCAGCCGCTTCCTTTCGCTTCTTATACTGCCGCCAGGCAGCCTGAATTAAACTGGCTGCCCATGTCCTCCACTGGTGGGAATGGAAACGGAACTTGTGTCTAAGTTGCTTGCTGTGCAGAATTCTAAACTGTGATGCCACAAACTTTAGGTCCTCCGCTCTGAGAGAACATGCCTCAACCGCAGTTACCGCTCTAACGGTTCGGGTAGAGGATGGCAGGATGATGCCAGGATGAGGGTCTAGAGCCCACGTCAGAAGCTCCTCTCCACAGAAGTCACCAGGGCCAAGCCGACTACAGTTGAAGAACCCAACCCGGCCGCCACCTGTGGTGTAGGAATCAAGGTAGCCTCGGATTATGAACAGCATTGCATGTACAGGATCACCTTCCCGTACTAGGAACGTTCTCTCAGTAGACAAGGCCGGTTTAAGCCTCTCAATTATAGCATCCAGTATTATTTCATCCATTTCGTCGAACAGTGGCACCTGTTTATTGATATTTGATGTTAGTTATTAACAGCCTGTTTGATCAAATGTCTAGCAATAAGAAGGTGAATTGGGACCAATGACAAATATATATTTGGTGACTTACTCGTCGAACAAGATTGAGACAGAGGTAGCGTTTGATATCTCGCCGGAGTTCCATGGGAAGGCCGCTGAGAATAGCTTCTTCATCAACTCCTCCAGTGGCTAGCCACTTGTATGTATCATATTTTCTGATGGACTCTTTGAGCTCCTGAGGAAGTTGCCGGTGATGCATCCATTGCTCCATATCATTTCTCTTGATTCTCCATTCTTCTATCCTAACAGTAGTGGATTGGAGGTATCTCTGCCCATAAAAGTATATTTGATACACAACTAAACTAAATTAAAGAAACTAATAGATGAATAATGGATTAGATTTTTTGATAAACTAGGTTCAGAAAGACTAATTACTTGCATATTTGCCACGACCCATGCAAAGAGAACAAGCGAAAGAGCTCCCACAAAGATGGCAAAATTATTCTCTCCAACAAAAGTGCTTGTGCCAAGGTTTTGACCAAAACAACTACTCACATCAGAATCAAAAGAAGGATTAATTAGAGACTAAGTAAGAAGGCCGTGTTTGGTTTGTGAATGAAATTAAAGAGCTAGTATTGAGTACCGGAAAGCAACTTACTTCAAGTTCTGTAGTCCGAACCAAAATGAGAAGAAGAACTTGTTCAAGAATTCTGTACTTGGAACATTGAGCATCAAGGAGTAATTATACATGCCGTACTGAAAGAAGTTACCATTTCCATTGCATAAGTTAGTGACATTGGTTGAATTGAACCAGGAATTTCGCCCAGCGTCACTAAGCCAGTTGCAATCAAAGTAATCATACTGACAAGCTGGCTCAAGATCACAGGCACTTTTCCAGCATCCTTCCTGTCTTTCAACTGAAAAGTAATACCACCATGCTCCAATAACCTTTTCAAGAAGAAGAAAAGGAACGGTGCTAAGAAAATTATTATCATCATAGTGCAGAACGAATGTGAAAGCAATTCTATGAAGGAAAAAGGCTTACATGGGCTGATAGAATGTAGAGAAGCATGTTATAAGCAGCGCCTGTCCATGCTGTTTGTATCACAACACCTGTGTCCTTTCCAATTTCGGTTGAGAGAGGGAAAATGAGAAAGAGCCTGGGGATATACTGGACAATGAGTATTAATAGAAGTTTAGATTTTGCGTTTGACATCTCTGTGCCTTTAAGATTGGGGGCGACAAACCAGATCAAAACCTGAAATAAGATGATGGAATGAGCTAATTAATTTCCATGAATCATCATCATCAAAAGAAAAAAAAAAATCAGTTCGTCACTGCAAAGTACCTGAGGAAGAGGCAAGGCAGCAATGAAGTCAATCCACAAATCCAACCGAAGATACCTCAAAGCAATCTTCCTAGAGTCTATCACAAGCTCTCCTCTCCCGAGTACCCGGGAAGGAGGAGCAATGTAAGCTGTCCTAAACCGAAGGAATATCTGAATGATGTAAAAGATATCAGCCAGTGATCTAATAATTGTAAGAATAACTGCAGTAAGGGACATTCCAGTTTCAATGCATGCTTGATCTGAAATTGCTGGTAAGAACAAGAATAAAGGGTCCAGGAACAATGAAAACAAGCATGCTATTAAAAAAATCCTGCTCCACCGGCGAATGATTGCTCCTCTCGGATCTAGTACCATTGTCTTCACTCTTCCAAAGTCCTCTGAGAAAACCCTGGACAGTACTTTATCTTTCAAGGATTTTCCCATCCTGATGGTAGAATCCTGTATTTGTGTTTCATCACCATTAACTTCTGGGAGTTTTCCCAAGTCTTGATCATCTTGAACTCTGAAATGCAAATATCAATGTTAGAATGAATTGGAATAGCTGCAAGTCATGATCATTTCTTCAATGTCATAAAAAAGTAAAAACTGGGAGGAAGTTATGATTATATAGATGGAGAAGGGACAGACCTTAAAGATCTTGAATGATTATGCCCCATGGCTTTGATCTCAGAGGCGTTCCCGTGCCCGTCCAAGAAGAAGAGCAGAGATTTATGCATTTAAAGGGAAAAAGTAAACTCTTTGACGAAATCAGGCATTCATCAGATGAAATTGACTAGAAAACAGCTCAAAACCACTTAGAGCAGAAAATGCCTTCACTAGCTATTATGAATATTGAACACGACATCTCAAACTAAAAACTTTGTAGACTTATCCCACCATATTTTTAGCCCAAAAATGCGAGTCAAATTACATGAAATTCACTCTTTTTTTTATTTTTTTTAATGAGACATGCCAATTGATTGACAACTTCACAGAAGAGAGAGACGGGAAGGGGTATAAGATTGGAACTCAAATTTGGCCAATTGCTTTGCGAACCTTTCTCTAAAATTCACCCTTTATCAAATCTGCATGATGGACAATCTGCGTGGACCTTCCCATCCCAAAACATGAGACTATAATAAAAATAAGAACACTCTGTGTGATTAAAGAGGGCAAGGAAAGTCTGTCGGGGAGAGGGATTTCTCTCATCACCCAGTGGGTTTTGTTTTCAAGGAGGGTTACCCCTAACTGCCTCCAAGCCTCTGAACCCACTTCCTTGGGTAAGTGATCCTAATCCTAAGGTTCTTTGGGGTGAAAACTTATTTTTTTTGAGTCATTTTAACAAACACGCAGCGTGTGCCACCATCACCATAGAAGCAGAGTAATAAGCGAGCTTACAAGCATAGGCTGCTAGCAGTAAAACCAATATCCATTTCATCCTGTCTCTAATTTCACATTTCTAACCGATTTCCAGAAATGGGAAGGAAAACAAAGTTACAATTTTTACTTTTGGGGAGGTTATTTGCTCCAAATAGCAGTATCGATCTTCTGGGAAGTTACGAATATATAGATAATCCCTCTGAAATTCAAGTTCTGTAGTACGGCGCACATCAGCCATTGGGAAAGTTACAAGTTAATTCTTTCTCAACTTCTCTAGTCTCGAGCACCTAACCTTGTGGCTTTAGGCCACTTTAGGCCTCCAGTGATTCCGATCAACAGGCATCCCCAATATTTTCAATGAATCCCTAAGTCACAACTTGAATTGCCTTGAACCACATTGATTTTTTTTTGTGTGTGATTGGCACAGGAGAAAAATCCGACAAATGAAACAAGAGCTTGTCAGTAATTTCCCCTTTATTCAAATGAAAGAGGGAGAAGAGTAGAGATTCGCTGGCAGTGGGAATGAGAGTAAACGAATGTGGAAAAGAGGAAAGACACAGCTCCTTTCTCAGTTAAAAGAAAAAAAAATCCTTGAGGATCTGTGTAAATTACCAAAAAAAAAAAAAAAATGATATTGCAGTGAAAAAAACTTTAAAAGCCAAAACCAAGAAAAGCTTCCAGCTTCTAGTCCTGTGAAGCAGAGGCGGCTTCTTTCAAGCATGATCTCATGACTTCACCAAGCTTAGCACAAGCGTCAAGGCAAAGTTGCATTGCCTGCAAAGTAAAAGCAATGTTATGTACATTTTGATATTCAAGAACAAGTACTATGTACTTATCAATGTCCTTCAAATTCCGCTTTAAAGAATCAATTGTCCTAAATTGAGGACAATATTCTGATGATGCAGACATAAAAGGAGAAAGACAAAATATACCTCATTAACATTTGGGGTGGACCATTCTCCTGTAATAGTTAGTTGAGTGACCTCATAACGTGAAGGCATGCACGTAAGCATTAGGCTTCCATCTTGGTAGCTTTCCTCTTCCAGTACCGGATCAATGATAAGGTTCTTCCCTAGACAAGACTAGCCACCAGAAATAAAACATTAGAGCAAGAAGTGACCAAGTCACATGCTTGAACAAAAAGGTGCCCTGAAACAACGGGGGTTAGGTTATCATGCTTGATTTCTGTATTATAATGCACAATAAATTGTTAAATTTCATTTGGCATGAGTTATACCTGAATAAAACAGTATAGTCAACTGCAGACAAGAAAGGTAGTGCAAAATGAATGGAAAATGTTGCATGATGTCAGAGGAATATTTGTTATAGAAACTCTCAGTGCTAATGTCTCAAGTGTAAAAATTCAATAAAAGCAATGTGACAGTCAAAGAGGATTACCACAGAAACTGCTGCAACAAGGTCATACATCATGATTCCAGCATCTGCTAGGGCAAGACTAGCACATGATATTACAACAGGAAGATCACCTGCAACCAAAAACATGAAGCTTATATACAGAGTAACAAACATTCTTGTTTTCATTTTTCTTTTTCATTTTTTTCTTGGACTGGGTTACTAAATCTAGATACTAATTTTTTAGATCTTAATAGAAGCTGTAGCCTTACTGCCACCAGATTCCAACACCAATGCAAATACATCAACAGTTGTCTTGGGGAATGTTTCCAAAATTATTGCACCCTCCAAAGCTTTATGAAGCATTGAGGAAAACTCCTTGTTGTCTGATCCCTAACAAAAAAAGGAGGTCAAGAATTAGATCCAAAGAACTTAGAGAAAATCATTTTGAATTGAAGAGGATATAAATTGGATGTACAAAATTTTGAAGAATTAAAAAGGACAAAAAATATTTCACAAAATCCACAGCTATGAGAGTCATGTACCTGTCCTCGAACTGTGGTGGCAAAAGTTGTATAGCTGACATTACAATTTAACCGCCCTATATCGCTATACATCATTGCTTTCTTACTTTCTCTTGGCCCAAATCTAAATTTGAAAATAATAAAATTTGTTCAAAGAAAATACTCTATAGAATCCAAAACTATATATTACAAATAATATGACAATTTTAAAGAAATATGCACTCACACGGACACAATAACCTTGGTATTTCCAAACTCTGCATATGCAGATCCTGCAGCTGAAGTTACAGCACTGGTCCTGAAGACTGCAACTCACCAGCATTTGAGAACTTAGAAATTAGAATTAGGTGCATTATAGGATCAGAATAATGAATTATGAACCAAGACTTTCATATAAGCAACCATGTCTCCACCACATATATAAATGAAATCTGTGGGTGTGGAAATCTCATATCCTACAACTCACGAGAGATTAAATGTGCGAGACCTGCTTGAATAGTTAAAATAAAAAATGAAAAACATGAGGACAAATCAGAAAATCCTTAACATAATCATAACCCAAGATGGCAACTGGCAAGATTAACTATTCAAGACTTCTATCTCTAGAAACTGTCGGAATGCTTCCTGCGTTGAGAACCACATTATTTATCTTAATATGAGAAAAATTATACATCTTTAAATGCAATAATAATTTCAAAATAAGATGAAGGAAACTTAAAGAAGCAAAACCAAACTTCATAAATTGAAACCACTTAAACTTGATTCCAGTGTCCTTAATTGCAGAAGAGTTGCATCTATGCAGCATAAACATGATTTACCAGCAAATGCTTCATAAAAGCAAGCCAGAGAAACAACGAAATGTGGCATTTGCTGTTTAAACTGACAACAGATCAGACAGCACAAAATAAATGGGAAACATACAGTACAAAGTGTCAAACTATACCATCCAATTTAAGATTCTGAAAAATGGCAGGCCTTCTCATATGATCAATGGGAAAAGAGACCAGGCATCGAGAAAATGATAAGGAATAAGAATCATATAATTAAAGCGAAATTGAGGAACAAGCACAAGCATTCCCCACTCCTCAGGTAGTGAAGCGTACACAAAGGTCACATACAAAAGAAGGAAAAAGAAATCAAAGCAAAATAAAAACCAGTAATCCAATCCTTGCATGGTCAAGCTCACTATCATAATTATAAACAAATCAAAAGAAGCTCGGCATTAACAAAGAAAGGAAATACCTTTACCAAAATCCCATAACCCATATATTCAATCTCTCAACAAAATGCTCGAAAGCATCGCTTTTATTCACCAAAAGGGACAGCACGAAACAGGAAAGCATTCAAAGTTCTTAGCTTTATTTGAAACAAGAAGAAATCCAACATGCATAACATGATCAAAAAGACAAAATCACAAACCCATCCCATATAAACACGATCAAATTGAAAAGCAAAATCAGAGATAAAATAAGCAAGGAAATATTCCAACAGTGATAAAAAAAAACACAGATAGAAAGAAAAAGTGAGAGGCTTACAGGCAGGTCGGCACTGGTGGAAGCTACGGCCATCGGGTCGGACCCAATCGAGATCGTTGTCTTTGAAAAGTGGAGGGCGGGTCTTTTGGTTCGGAGACGGAGAGTACGTTGTCTGAGCCGTACTGGGTCTAGCTGCCATTCTCCTTCTTCCTCTGCTCTGTTTGCTAAACGGCGCTGGCAACACAACGACGGTGCTGTGCTCCAAGTCTGGAGAAATTTCAGGGTATGTAAATTATTACGTTTCTGCCGGCAGGAGCAAACGGTGCGTTTTGATGTAGTCAGAAAATTTCCTTGAAAGTTGAATTGCTATTTGCTATCGTAACTGCTCTTCTACTGTTTGGAATTGTTGAAACAAGTCCTTTACTGTTTTATTGGTTTCAATCAAGTCCTCTCTATTGTACTGCTTTTCAATCTGTCGTTCATCTAAAGACATTTAAAATTTTGAATGTATCAAACAATGTGAAGGTTGTAAAGATACTTGAAAAATAATTAATTTTGTAGTGGGTACAATAAGTATAGATACGTTATAATTGTCAAAATTAGGATATATAGTCTAATTACATCAACAAGAACTTTATTTAATGAGAAAAATGCATTTTGTCATATTCTTATTTTTCATTGGTGATATCTTTCTTTTTCTTAATGAACCTACCCTTGAAATTAAATTATTTCGTAATGTCTTTCGTTTGGTTTATTGAAAGATGTTCAACTCCTTTTTCTTTGTTAAATCTCATGTTAGTTGGGACAACATTTGAATTAGGGATACTAACTTTGAAAATATTATATTGAGTTTACCATAACGTTGCAATCATAAACAGTATTATTGTTGATTAACTTTTGATTGACAACAACAGATTTGGAATAATGTTTCCTATGCTTATTTAATTTTTTTTTTAATTTGTATACTTTATATATAAGTTAAAGATATAATTACTACATATTTTATATTAATTAATATTAAAAATATAAAAATTGTTGTTAATTTTATCAATGAATTATTTAATAAATAATTATTTAAATAAAAATTAATTTTTATTTTTATATTATTTTTTTATTAATTTTTTAATACTAATTAATGTAAAAAATTCAATAATTACCTGCTTAAGCCCTGCCCTTAAAAAAGTCCATTTTAAAAAGAAGAAAATGTTGTGAAGGACCCCTTTTTTTTTCTTTTTTTTTTTTTATCCCTTTATTTATAACATGGTGTCAAGACATTTAAGCTCAATATAGTCCCACCGCTGTCATTAATCCGTTCACTTCACAGGCGTGAGGCAAACGTCCACTCAAGAATTGCATTCGAAATCTTCCTCGATTGTCTTATCATCGATGTGCCAAAAGAATAAAAATAAAAATAAAGCTAAATGTTAGTACCCAAGTGGATAAGAATCAAAATATCTTTTTCTAGAAATGAAGGATTCCCATTTTTTCTCAAGCAGAAATATGAGAAATTTGCCGACCACTTCTGTCGCCCAAAGGGCTCAATGATATGGCGCCTCGATTCTCTTTTGAGTCCGATCATTAATATTATTTTTCTATTCTATTATACCTAATTGTAATGTAAAATTACATAATTAAAAAAAAAATGAGAAATTTAATCAAACTACATTAAATCCGCAACATTTTGCAACTGCAGTTGCTACACACAGATACACAAGAATGCTTTAAATTTTCACAGATAGGGAACCACAGGGTTTCAAAGGTAAGGAATGCTTCAAATGGTGCTAACTGGTAAGAAAGGCCATACTCGAAAGGAAGAAAAGTGTGAGCAGTACATTCTTGGGTAAATTGCAGATCTAAGGAGGAGGAGGCCCAGGCTCAAACAGTGGTGGGCAGCAGCTTCGGAATAAACCACAGCAGCACAGAAACCACAGACTGCAAAAGGCCAGAAAAGAAAAAAAAAGAAAAAAAAAATCAGATTCTAGTGTCATTGTTTTGTTTTTTTGGTCTCCTGCTTAATAAGTTATTAAAGAAGGAACACTATATATGGATAAAATATTACCAGCAATCCCAGAATCCTCCATCCGGTCCTGGAGGAGGAGGGCCGCCGAGCAGTGGTTCACTTGATGGCGGAGGTGGATCCATCTGACAATCAGAGAGTTTTACAAATGGGATTGGTTATCTTGGAGAGTTCACCATATAATATTTGTTCATGAAGTGCACCCTCCCGTCTCCAAGTCTTAACCATCACCTACCATTCAAAGGTAGTTCAGATTAGTAAATTTGGGAGCCAACTAACACTTGAACGGACAAAGATAATTAAGCATTAAGCTTGGTTATGTACATAAACACTCTTGACTTTATGACACTCTTGGCAATTCACTTGCAATTCTGTGGCTCCATTACTACGCCAAGCACTGTTCCTGCTAAAGAGAGCTTATACTTACAAAAAGATTAAAGTAGATTATGAATTTTGCATAATTTTCCGTACATGGCTGGAGGAAAAAAAAGCCAGAACAAACAAGTTACAAAACAACCTGCTTCAAAGAACGCAGGGAAAAAATAACTGGAGCCTGCTCGCTACCTCTACAACACAAAGAAACCAAAGCAAACTTACGAACTGTAATTGTTAAATCTTTCCAATGAATTGTTCTAATCAATAATCAGGTAGACTTGACGCTGCCATGTGAAATGATTCAAACCGAGGCTCTGTCAGATCGACTGTATCATCATCCTGGATATTGCAACTCTTAGCTTTTGAAGTCAAGAGGATCAGCCTTTCCATACAGTCAGCTGAAACCATATCTGCCTCTATGTTCTTGCTTCCAGCACAAAGAGTACCATCCATGTTTGATGGCTGTGAACACTGTGATGACCTCTTAATAAACATGGCTTGTCTGGGCTTCTCTGCAGCATGTAAAGCCTCAACTACATTGCGGTGTCCTTTTATGTGAGCTTCACTTATCATGCTATGGACAGATGATGACTACACAACAAAGAAACAGGCAATTTTTTAGTATGTATCAACTGAGACTAAAAATCTCTTCAAACTTCTTTGTAAAGCTTGATAAAAAGCATCTAACCAATCTCATTCACAAACTATTACCTGAAAAAGGTCTACAGGAAATCGTAATTTAGATTTATCTGGTGCAATAGTTGAGAGGATTTGCACAACCTCACTCATGGTCGGGCGAGAATCAGGATCCAACAGCAGGCACTCCTTTGCTAGGTAAGCCATTATCTGCATCTCTTCTTCTAGGAAATTTCCCTTCAAACGTGGATCTGGCAACTCTGATATCACTCGCTTATTGTCCTGTAAACGAGGGGTGGCCTGAAGAAAATAGAAGGAAGACTTTGTTCAAAATCCAATTATATATTGATCTATTATTATATATCAATAGTGTGCATAAGGTGTCCAATAGATATCTGAATCTCCAATATCATGTGATGGTCAGCATTTACCATTACATTTGATGCCAAGTAACTCAGAAAAAGCATTATGGAACTCCAAGATACTTATTTGTTTAAGGAAAAAAAAAAAACAGAAGAAGAAAAAGAAAAAAAGAACGAAGATCCACTTTACCCATATAACAAGACTTTCTTCTTTGTTATTTGATTTACGGATGGGATGGCGACCAGTGATGAGCTCTAGAAGAACTACACCAAAACTGAAAACATCTGACATCAGAGAGGCTTTTCCAGCGATTGCATATTCTGGAGCAAAATAGCCAAAAGTGCCTTGCATCCTTAAAGGTGAGCTGGAAGCGCTTGGAAGTCCATCAGCTCTTAAACATTTAGCCATCCCAAGGTCAGTTATCTGAACAATAAATGGATTGATAGTCAAATTGTAAACCAGATACATGCTGCCAACTAAAGCTTAATCTGAGTAATAGATATCTAAAACAATTGAGATTTCTTACTTTTGCTCTCCAGTTCTTGTCCAGAAGAATATTTGTGGATTTTACATCTCTGTGCAAAATTCTAGGAGCAGCTGCTTCATGAAGATATTCCAAACCCTTTGCAGCTCCAATTGCAATTGTAACACGAGTATCCCAGGTCATGTCCTCTGCTGAAATTTCATCCAAACAATCCCTCAGGTTACCATTGGGCATATACTCAAATACCAATAGCCTCTCAGCATGTTTCCCTCGGAATTCTGAACAGTAGCCAAGCAAGGGCACCACATGGCAGTGATGGAGTCTGGACAACAATTTGACCTAAGCAAAACAACATTGTGAAATACCTTATAATGTTGTAAAAGAGCAAGCTCATATGCTTTTATTTCTCATTAGAAATGTGATGAGAAAGAGAGTATATTCTCTAATCACAACATGTAAAAAATGGCCACGTTTTGGTGGTACCTCTGTTGAAAAGATAGAGTCTGCATCAGGTCCCCCGTGAGTTTTAAGACGCTTAACTGCAACAGTGCTTCCATCTCTCAGCTGACCATGATACACATAGCTGCTTCCCCCGAGTCCTATAAGGTTGGAATTAGAGAACTTATTGGTTGCATTTTCCAGCTCAGTGTATGAGAATTGCATTATGGTTCCATGTATAGTCTCTGCTTTGCCCCGATATAGGAAAGAAGTGTTTAGAAAGCATCCTGATCAGAAGAGAAATAATGAATTATTATTGCCTTGCATTCCAAAGCCAAGTATTGAATGAAGAAAGGGAGTGGATGGCAATATAGCACTTCAACTTCATGAAAAAGGGAATTATATAACATAATACCTGCAATAGGTTTAGCAGGGAAATCAATGTTAACCTTAGTTTCTGAAACTGACAAAGGCTTCTCACTTATTAGATTGGCAGCACTATTGCAGCTTGTTTCTTTTTCAGATGAGAACACGGGTGGCTGGATAGGCTTGCCCTTTATACAAAAATAGAAAATCATCGAAGAAAGAAATGCAAGTGTTATTAGTATGACACAGAACAACAGAAGAATCACAACAATTCTGCTTGATATGTGTTTCCTTGAAGCTTCAGCAACGGGAAGTGATCCTATTGAAAAATAAAGTCAATTGAAATTGATTAAACTCCTGAACCATTTATTTGAACATGGGCCATAAAATATACCAGCAAAATTTTTTGAAGAGAAAAAATCTCGATACAAGAAAAAATATACCAGCAGTACAGTTGCAGGCCGTAAAACAGGTGGTATTTTGATGGTCATATGTTACTTTAGGGAATCCATCAGCAACACATATACATGTCCACCTATCTGCACTTGATTCTCCAGCTTCCATTTTTAAGAGGTCATATCAGTTAGTCCATAAAATACGATAAAATAATGCCAGTTTCACACACAATATGTCATTCAATGAAGAAACTAAGGGGTGGCAGTGATTTGTTGTACTGCAAATATCATTAAACACACCTGGACTGCAATCACAGGATGAAGAACAGTTTGATTTGAGAAAATAACTCTGATTTCCTTGATATGCGGAAGAACATGTACATGTCCAGTTGTTTATGCGTGATGTGTTTGAAATTTCAGCTGCCACCAAGTGATAGGAAGAAACTGAGCCATGTAATAGATAGAGGTAAAATAGAAAGTGTAGCGAAATGCAAATGGCTCATTAATGTCTACAAGTTTCACACAGTACACCCAGAGAAACACCAATGTATAATATCTAACCATTGTTAACTTTAACTTACCAAAAAATGAAGAAAAGTAATTTCAAAACCAAACACATTTAGAACAAATCTCCTATTTCTAGAATACTTTGTACTGAAGTTTGTAAAGGCAGAATGTTACCATTGGCAATATACAGGTGTTTCTCCTATACTAAGGTTATATATGGAAAACAAGAGAGCCAAACTCGGAGAGAGTACAAAAATTCACACTAACCACAAAGACATTGCTGAACCCAGATCAAAATAATGAAACACGCAACAGAAACTTTGGCCTTGAGCTTCATTTTGTTCCAATCCAAACACTAAAATGGGAAACAGAATAGTTAGTCAACAGTAAAAATTTCTGTACTTAACATGGGATAAATTACTAGGCCAAAATAAGGCATAAAATGTACAGACAGAAAAGTCATAAATTGACAACAGAACCTAAGAGCAGCTCACAAACATATATAAATGATTACCAGATAAATAAACAACGATCTAGGACCAGAGCTCATCTAGTCAAGCTTAATCCAACTTCCTCCTATCTGCAGAAAGCAGATGACAAACAGATTGAAGCTAGACATACACCAAGGAAAAACCATAAATACTATCATGACTCGAAGACAGAAAGCTACAAAAGCCAATCATCATCTACAAAAAGCAATCATAAAATTGCATATGGCAAGATGAGCTGGACATTTATACAGAGAAATTAATGAGAAAAGATGGTTCAAATTTAAAGTCTAGAACATGCATATTAATAGACTCCAGTGGTTGAAAGTTGAAGACAGTTAAATTGATTCCCCTGACATTTACACCCCCACTCTAGGTTGTGATATCAAAATTGCTAATTGTTGAGAAGGTATAGACATTAGTTTCAAATTATGGACATCCCTAGAATTAAAACATGATAATTGATAGGTAAGACTTGCCAAGTTCACGGTTGGCCAACAAACACATGAAGCTTTAAACTCTTTCAATCCAACCCTGAACCATTCAATGGAGAAAGGTACAAGCAAGACCATGTCCAGTACTCTCACTATGGTATTCTCTACACAGAATTCTGTAACATGCAAATACTATACTCCTCTAATATCTTCAGTCAAAAATTGCTAGCTACAGCCTCCAGTCGTGTAAGATAATGACAGGAAACTAAAGGTCCTCAAGGCACAGTGCACAAAAAACCAAGAACGTCAAAACCATTTATTAAAAGCTGTTTCTACTTACTACAAAATGGTTATATCAAATATTTAAAATACAAGGCCAGCCAGACACATTACATTTAAACACATGACATCAAAGACCTGATCCCCCAGTCCAGAATACAACCGCATTAATGGAGAGGTAAGAGCACTCACCTAGAAACACGATTGTCGTTTATCCACAGGACTCCCAAAAGCAATATACCGAAACATCAACATTATTTTGCAGTAAGCAACACAAAGAAAGTTTCATCCCAAAAAGAATCCACCAAAGCGTCAGAGTATAACTACAAGAGAGGCACGTAACGAGGTGAGCTGATTGCCCGAGAAAGTACAAAAACTAGAACAATAATCTTTGGAATAATTCAATCAAACAGCACCCCAAGGTTTGATGCAACCTTGAAGTTGAGCAACAAAATATAAGCAAACTAATCATGAAACGCAGACCCAGAGCTAAAAGAAGGGGAAAATCCGAAATTTGAGCAGCTTAATAATAGAAATTAATGATCATAAGTTGACAAAAAGGACAATGCACAGCTATAACAAGGGATAGTGACTGGTGGGTTTTTAAAATACACATATTAAAGATGAACAGGAATTGGAAAGAAAACCCATCAACCACCTCTCTGAATGCAACCCATTGGCCAATCCGAAAGGGGACCCTCAACCATCCATCAAGGCATGTGGGTTTTCTATGTAAAAACGGAAAGTAGTTGAATTCTCTACAAAAATAAAAAGGGGAAAACAAACATTAATTTCCCAACAGTTATAAAACTTCACTTCTAAGGAAGACTAGATACGGCGTGCACTGCAAAAATAGAATTTCAACGTTTAGTGTTTGCATTTTTAACTGAATTCCAACCCCACCCGCTACAGTTCCGGCTGCTGGGATTTTCCACCGCATTGGGGCCGGGCTGGATACCAGCCGTCGGATTAACCATACAACCCAATTTTCTGATAAAGCTAGATTTTTTTTTTTTCTTTTTTGTGTATATAACCTAACTTGATTAGTCCACTAATACGCTATTATTTTAGTGGGAATTTTGCTCATTACTAGAAGAAAAAGAAAAAGGGTAAAGTCAAAACGAATTAGCTTACCTAAAAATCGGTGCTTTCTCCTTCAGTGTTCAGCGCTATGGATGGAGTTTCTTTCGGTAAAATCGAAGTAGTCATGGGTTTGAGTGCTTTAAACTGAAATCAGCTTAAGAATTCCGATCTTGGTTCCTCCGATTTCCGATGGATTCAAGTCGGAGGAGTGAACACTCAAGGTGGCGCGCTTTTTGTCGGCAGGTGATGACGTGGCGTCCACCAAAGCATGGTAGGGCTCCCCCTAGCTTTTCAGATTTTACCGTTGGCTAGGAATCGTAGGGCTCATATTGTATCCACGTGTCAGTCAATACTAACGTTTTCAGTTTCGATTAGATTTGCTAGGGGATTAGTTTTTTTTTTTGACCTTTATGGTAAACTAGTCCTGGCAGTCATCATCAGAGAATATAGCAAGTAACAATTGAGCCCCTAACTTGTTTATTTGATCAATTCACTCTTACGAAAAATTGTAATTTTAGTTTATTTATTTTTATTGCATAAGAAATTTTATACCATAATTCAAGTTAAAACATGGGAGAAATTCATTTCTCAAACCAATTATATAACTGGAATGCAGAACTAAATTTTAAAATTAAAATAGAGAGAGAGAGAGAGAGAGAGAGAGAGAGAGAGAGAGAGAGAGAGAGAGAGAGAGGAGTAGAGTCTGTTGGAACAAATTAAAACTAGATATATCATATTTAAGAGAAGCTGACATGTTGAGCGAGACTCACCCTAGTACTGTATAGTTGTTTTTGGATATTACCATAGAAAAAAAAAATTTAAAAGAAGAATTCACCCCCATTGTATCCATGGCTATACCCCCATCCTCCTATGGGAAACAAAAACACAATTTCCCTTGCTATGTACACTATCCCATGACCCAAAAAACCCCCTAATTCTCTTACTTTTCATTTTTTCTTCACCATGAATATTTCCCTCTTCAAACCAGTCCTTAGTTGTCCCAAGTTCTTATTCATGTACATAACAAAACAAGAACATATACCCACCATGTCAAAACACCCAACCTGTTTACATTTCTCAAGTTTATACCCAGCTTCCCAAACCATGAAAATAGAAGGAAAAGGAAATCACTAAAACAAAAAGGTCTTCCGGATGCAAAAAAATGAATACGGGTGAGGATGGTTTTTCAAAGGTTTGCTCCAATGTATTACCTTGGTTCAGGACGACCAGGGAATGACTGAACTTGTCTAAGTTTTCGTTGAGATTGAGGGTTCCCAAATACCATGGTTTGAGAACGGGTAACCATGTCAACCATGGAAGGGGTCTGGTAAGCTTGCACAAGACTTGTGCTATCAGTGGAGTCACCTCTTGCAGTTGCCCTCTGCCATGAATGTGAGCTCAATCCTGACAGCACGTAAGCCCTTCCCGATGCCTCATATATGCGGCGGTTTGCCATCCTTTCTTGCATCTCCTTTAGCTCAGCACATAGTGCAGTGCATAACCTGTCACCAGCCTGGGCAGAGATTGTTTGAGATAAAGCCCTACGACAGCTCTCAAGTAGAGAGACAGCATTAGCTAGATCACCATTCTCAGCAGCAGCTCTAGCCTCAGCTATTGCCTCTGCTGCACGGAGCCTGTTCCGCTGCCTGTCTACTTCCATAGACACTTCCGGTTGCATAACCATTGCAGGCCTCTGGATCCTCACTTCACTGGCTTCTTCTAAAGACACGGTTTCCTTGGTAATAGGGTCCCTGTAAACACATTGAACCTTTAGTAATGACATCTCTTCACTGGATCCATTGACTGGAATATTGACTGCCACCAAAAAATCCCTTTCTTCTTCAGCATACAAGTCTCCAACATCAACAGAACCTGATCTTGAGTCAGCCATCATGCTGGTTCGGTAATTGCCAGCCTTTATTGAACTAATTTGCATTTCTGGATGAACGCACTCCACTTTAACAGACACTTCTTGCACTACTACACTTAACAGCCCTCCAATGCACTGTGCAAACGCATCCTGGATCACACCCTCAGCTTCTATGAAAGAAAATGTACCTCCGGATATCTCAGAGATCGAATGCATTGAAACAGCATCATGGTCTGCACCAAACCCAAATGCATGCACAGGGATGTGGAAGCCAGCACCACCATCCCGATGAGTGGAGACTGGAAGAAGTGATTTATAATTAGTTCTGGGTCGGTCCCCACTAGGACTTGTAATCGTATATGTATCCTGCCCATCAGATAACAGAATGATACTGCCAACTGGGTTCTTCCACTTGCGATCCACTAACGCCTTGGCACCTTTCCTAAGTCCTTCAGCAATGTTTGTCCCTCCATTTGAAGTCAGAGAGTTAACAGCCTGCAATGCTTCCTGTCGCCCAGTCTCAGTCATCCGACGAAGAGGAAAGAGGCGACGCGCTGTAGACGAGAAGACTATGACAGAAAGCCGGTCAGAGGGGCCCAGGTTCTGTATCACAAAACCCATAGCTCGTTTTAGCAAAGCAAGCTTGGTACCTGACATGCTGCCACTGACATCAAGCACCGTGATAAGGTCAACTGTGGCACGAGTATTTTGAGATACTGATGCTAATGTACTCTGGTTTCCACAGCTATTTTGTCCTCCATTTCTATGAGGAGCCTTGAGATGAATCAGTACAGCAAAATTATTATGAGGGGTTGCTCTAGGAACTGCCGAAATTTCTGGATATGTTTTGACTTCTATTGTATCAATAGAATCACTACACACAGGATCCTTTATAAGTGTATTTCCTTCGGTAGTCACATTCTGCTGATCTAAGACTTCATCATCATTAAAGATTCCTGGCTCTGGAGCATGGAAAAGAGAAGTAATTTGCCTAGATGAATCTAGCCGAGGAGGAGGAAACTGTCGTAAAACAGTCATCCAGTTATCTTCACGGGGCCAATCTACTGGATTGATCCCTAACCTTCCATTTGGATGATCAGATGCAGGGCTCTGGAAGGGGATTTCTTTCCATTTGGCTCTGCAAACTGGACACATCTGGTTGCCATGTTTTACATTAGAGGTAATGCAGTGAAAATGGAAAGAATGGGAACACTCTGCAGTAAAAATCGCATGGCCTTGACCAGGTTTCATCGTTGCTAGACAGATTGCACAAGTTCTCTGCAGTTTGAAAAAATAAACTGGTGAGGATGCAATATTGACAGGCATCAAAAAGGAGGCCTCTAGCTAAAATGACTCCATCATTCAAGTCCTCTTGATGAACACATATTTATCACGTAAAACCCTGACAGTTCCCTGTTTTCAAATATGGCTGCACAACTTACAAACATACTGTATGAACAGATTTAACACTGGACTTCTAGAAGAATTCAAATTCACATTTCCGTTATAAGATTCAGATCCTGAACTAAGTTACTTAAAATCTTACAATTGCCTTCATATAATATTTTGAGTTTTGATGATATATACAAATTTCAAATGCCCATGTACCATCCATCATCGACAAATTCTGTCACCATGCAGTTATATTATTAAGACTGGTGCATGAAAAGTCCCCATCTCAAAAAGCTAGGGGTACAGTTAACTCTCAAAAGTAAATTGCTGGCCTAACTGAACCTCAAAGACGGTCAAATGAGAAACTGGAAATGTTAAATCTACAGCATAAATTATTGGACTTAAGTCACTCTGTTTACTTTTCCTCTCTCACATGTGATCTGAACCTAATTATGTGGACAGACAATTTAACGTGCACCATGTTTAATAGTCAAAGCATTCGAAGGGCATATTTGGAATCAAACAGAAACCAAAGGGATGACTTTTTAAAGGTAAGAATAATCAAACAACACTCACAACAAATGATGAAGCTTTCAACAGAACAACCCATAAAAGAGAAACACATAAATAATGCAAAGCTCATCAAAAGAAGGCCAAATGATGGGTTCACTCCAATTTTTCTCCTTTTTATTTCCATTTTCCAAATTTCCTTTTTTTTCTTCTTACTGAGGCTTATGGCAGCAAAGCACATAATCAACGGTCCTCAGCCCTTCCCAAGATTATCCTCAAAAGCAGGGAGAGAGAAAGAGAGAGAGATGTGCGTGTGGAACAGTGCAGTTATGCTGACCAGACAAAGCACTTTTCTTATGAGGGGAAGAAAAGGAGAGAGCTAAATTGTACAGTGACCAGTGTATTCCTTTTATAATAAGCCAAAAGACAATGGTCCTTAAAGCGACTAGTTTGCTTTATCCCCACATTGGCTCCTTATGGAGAGTTGAAAATAACACAACAGCAAATACCCATCTTCAGAAATTTCAGAATTAGTACAATCACACATCCCACCATCATACCCCACATGATAAGAGCCTGGAAACTAGAGAGATACGGTAAAAGAAGGAACAGTTTCAAAATAAATTTGACATTAACAGTGTGTAATGCTAGAATATCTTATCCATGATCCATGATACATGAATGGATCATATTCATATATAATAGAAGATCCCATTTGCTTTAAAAGGCAAAACTGGCAGTAATAAGAACTGACATTAACAATAATTGACTATTAAACTGGTGTAAGGCAGAACCCTTCTACATTAATCCCATGACTTTTAAGTATCAGAAATCTATTTTCTGATTGAATACCAATCAGAACCTACCATGAGATCCGGCAACTAAAAAGTCAAAATAAACAAGGTGAAAAATGCATTGCAAATACAAAACCTTCTTTATCACAGCCTAATTTGTCATAATGCAAGCCTAAACATACCTTAACATCAATGATTATACAAAAACAAGGTAGAAAACTTGATTTTTTAAGAAAAAAAATAAAAATCAATTTTACCTCTTTAAACATCAAGATACATACATAGAGTGACATACATACCATGCAGGCCTCATCACAAACACAAACACATACACATACATAAACAAAATCATAAATGCATGAAAATATCCAAGTGGGTATTGGAAAGATATACGGACCTTTGATGCTCTAGTCCCAGATTTGGGTAACCGGAGCCCGGAAGAAGATGGGGTGGGTGTGGTGGGCCGGCAGTCTATCCCCGGCGGAGAAAGGGGGGAAGTGGAAGCGGCGTCGGAGGAGAATCTTGAGGGAACAACATCCAGATGATGGCGGCCATTAATGGCGGCCGATGATGATGAAGGGGATGATTCTCCAAGCTTTTCCGGCACATACAAACACATGTTGAACCCAAGAGCCAACTTCGCCTTCCTCCATTTACTCCCCATAATTCCTGTTTTCGAGTTCTCAAAATCTCTCCTTTAGAACAAAGCTACCTCTTCTTCTCCTTAATTTTTCTGCGCAATTAAGCTAATCCTAAACCATGAAAAAAACAGCACAAGATTGAGACTTTAGGCATCATTTTTGTTGGGGAAGAAGCAAAATAAGACATTTCCTTGAGTTTTTTGGGATATAAATAAAGTTGAAGAGTGAAACAGAAGTGAAGGGAAGGGTAAGGAATAGGCTGTGGTGGTGCTCTTCATCTTTTAGGTAGGAGATTGGTCAGAAATTAGCAGCTTTTTTTATTTCTTTTAAAAAAATGAATTATTAATTTAATTAAAATTTTGCCATTTTGACGTTTTACCTTTTCTAGTTTGCCCTTGGATTTTGAATAATCTTTTTTTTTTGATGGGATGATTTCCTCTCCTTTTTTTTTTCTTTTTCTGTCAAAATCATGAAAATTAAACAGTTTTTGGTGATTTTATAGACTAAAAATAAATCCATTTTTATTGAGACTTATGTCTGTTGGATATTTTTCCTTACATAAATAAATAAATACTTGTATAAAAAAAATAAATACAAAATAGAAAACAGCAACCTAACATGGCTGCTTTAATGTCCATTTAATAATGATGACAAAGACACCAAGGAAAAAAAAAATCCCAAGAACATTTGAGTATGATAGAAGCATGGAACTCAAAAGACTTCTCAACTCTAAATGAATCTTGTGGTATTTTTTTTTTCCTACTTTGAGAATTATTTAGGAGTCTTGAAAGAAAGCGATATTGAATTAGAAATTTAAACAATAAATAATTTAAGAGTAATTTTTAAAATTTTTTAAGTTTAAATATAAAAAATAAGGTGAGTAAAAAATATAAATTTTTTTTAAATATTAAAGAATTAGTTGTTTACAATACATAAATTTAAATTTAAATTTTGATTTTAAATTAAAAATTTTAAATTAATAAATATTAATTTAATTATATTTTTAGTAATAAAAAAATTATTTTTCATTATCCAACTTAAATCAAAAAAATATTAACCTTTAAAATGTGTGAACCATGTGAATTCGATTTTTTTTAATAAAAAAAATGATACAAATTTCCAAATCATGGAAATTAAAGAGAATATACTTGTTGTACGTTACATCCGGAATACGGAATAGTGAAATTTTGTGGTTTTTGTTGATTAAATTGATGGTCCCAACTCCCAATTCCCAAATCACAAGCGCTAGTCATTTTCCAAGTTTTGTTTTTCTTTTTTTTTTTCTTTTTTAATGGGCTTGGAATTCGCTGTTACTACCGCCAGGAATGCTGCTTTGTCTTTTTGGTAGCTTAAAGTTGAAGGGGGAAGATTAGGTTAGATTATTAGTCAAAACCACATTTTTCAACAAAAAGGTTCCTCGAGTAGATCTTGACCGATTAATTCATCCTTCTCTAGGAGCACAAATCCAACACTTCTCTGTATTAAATGATTTTCTTTCTTTCTTTATGTAATACACAGTAAAAATGTTTTGGGCAATCGGTTTGAATTTTATAATTTGATATAATTTAAATAATAAAAAAATTTTACTAACACATATATGTATATAATTATCTCAGTTTATGAACTAAATAAATTTGCAAAAAAGAGACAAATCTTTTGTATCTAAGTTGTAAGTTTTCGTATGGAAATCTTAAAAGGTAATTAGTTAAAAAGTAACGATACAACGGACGAAAACACGGGACGAAAATAAGGGACGACAAGTGATGTAAGGAGGTTAAATTGATAATTGCACTACATACATAAACCTTGCATCATTTGTCGTCCTCATTTTTGTCCTGCGTTTTCGTCCGTTGAATCATTACTCTTAGTTAAATTATTAATATAAAAGTATTTTTTCATTTATGTGATCAAGATTCAAACTCTTATTCATCTTTTACACCTTTCTTTCTTATCAAAATATTAACCAGTTAATCTGTTTTATAAAAAAAAATTGTGGGTTTTAGTTTTTTTTTACTACTAGAACAAAAGATTTGTTAGCATATCCAATGATTTTCTTGATATAGATGACATTAAGAAATAATTTAAGAAAATTTATATAAATTTATATATAAATTTATATATTAATTAAAAAATTATTATTTTTATTTTATTAAAATTTATAATATTATATATATTATCTCGTATCGTTTACCCACATAACATCTAATCCCCAATTTCAAAATTCACGGGTTCATCTCCCTTTTCTAGCTCAACTAAATTATGCTTCCCAATTTTTGGCTTATGCATTTTTTAACATTCCATTAAAGAACTAATAAAAGGAAAAGATCCATGGCCTATTTTTAATAAAATAAAATAAAATAAAAGAGAAAGAAATCCTCTTGATTTTCTCAACGATAAAAAAGGACACGGATTATGCATATTTAACTAACGTCATGGTACTGTTGTACATAATGGGTGTTATTTAAATACTCCATTATCAAGAAGGCTAATTTTTGGTCTTTTGACCATGCTAATTAAAATCAAATATATATTCTCGTTAACGTGCCGGCCACCTAGACATTTAACCATTGCGTAAAAGACATTGAGCGTGGTCAAATCTTACTTTTATTTTAGATCCTGAATTTAAGGAAAAGAAAAAAAATTTCTTATATTCACTGCATAACTCAATTCTTATTACGCACATGAAAAATTTATCTAATATAGTTCAAAGTGCAAAATAACCGAACCAAAACCCCATTAAATTCACTTAATGTGCACCTAGTTGACATAAAAATAGTGGGTTTGCTCATCATAGTTTGACTAACAAGTTCATGGATTTTTTTTTTTTTTCAATGGGTTAGATAGATTTTCATTGGATATATTAATAGTTCAAACTGAGCTCTCTTTAGTCTTTCATTTACTTCCTTTCAAGATATACACAATTAATGGTTCTTCTTAGTGGATTATGTTTAAGTCACTTTCAAATAATTATAATTACGGCCCTAAGCAGTAGTATCCTTGATCAAGTGCTTTTTGACTTCCCCCTAAGTGCTGCTTAATTATTTAAATGGTGATGGATGACGGTTAATTAAGCCAAGATTAATGGTTGGTATTTGCCT